TGGTTTATGGTTTATACTCTTAAGATTTGGTGACTAAATGGTACAAGAATTTAAAAAAAATATTTCTTTGATATAAATACTTTTGTTTCTAAATTTATCCACAATATAAGTTATGTGGGGTAAAAAAAAAACCTAAAGTTACTTTAGCTGTTTAGGATTTTTTTGTGTTTCTGATTTTTCTTTTCTATTCTTGGATATCAAGTAATCTTATATCTTAGATATACTCTTAGATTTTTCTTACTAGGAAAAGTTGGTGAGCATGTGACTGGGAAGAACCCAAAGAAGGAAATTATGGTCAGTTTGTTTTTATCAGGAAGTTTTTATAAGGAAAGAGGTTGCACACTCTTCCCTTAAAGTATAATGGAAAGTATGTTTCTCATTGTGAGGACAACTAATGTGACTTTGCAAAGCAATGCATGTTTTAAAACTTCTTTATTTTTGGGAATAAACACTAGGAGGAAGTAAAACATAGAATGGTTAAGATGTTGCACTGTCATGTTTTAGCTTCAGTTTCTTAATGAACTACAAAATTTACACTGTGATTTTCTTTCTCTGACAATTATCAGGAACAGACTATTATGGCACATATGGGCATTGACTCAGGAACTACTAATATTTTTGATGAAGTAGACAAGAGTGACTTTAAAACTGACTTTGGTTCGGAATTTCCAGTAGGTTCAACCTTCAAATTCTTACTGACTATTAACCCCTCCCCCAACCCCTCCCCCAACTTGCCTCCATCCTTCTGTTTCTCGTACTGGAGTGACCTGTGTCCTTGTGATGTAAATGTGATCCCACCATACTCCTCCTAGGGCACAGTCCAGCTCCTTCGCAGCTGCCTCCTTTCAGTTCATCCTCAGTTTGGGCTGCACTGCCTCCTTTGGGAAGCATAACACTCCTGTCCTCCTAGTGAACTGCCTGGGACTCTTCTGTTCATTTTGAGGCCATCATCTCTCAGGAGTTAAGGGGTGCAGTGGTTTTACCATGCCAGTTCTTATTGATTTGCTGTGTATATATTTAGCTCCTGAAATAATAGCTTTCCTGGCTCTGGACTTGCTATACATTCTTTTACTTTATCTAAAATTATGTGTTCTTCCTCTTGCATCTTAATGAGTAACTCTATAAAGAACATTATTTACGGTACAGACTAAAACCTTTCTGTCTGTTCATGACTTAGTTAATTATTCCTGTGTTTTTATAGAAAACACAGCCCTAAGGGGAAAACAATGACCTATAAACTGATTTTATCTCTGGTCCTCCAGGAAATGTAGCTGTGCACATTTCTCATGTGTGTCATTGTCACTGTCTCATCTTCAAAGAGTAGGATGATGGTGCGAGCCTCCTGGTGATCTAAAACGAAGTTTGTGGAAATGAACAAAATTTCTGTATATATTTTGGTTAGTGGTTAAATAAGGAAAAGTCCCTGTAATAAGTGTCTTGTGTCTTTGGTGCTGTGGTATGCAGCACTGGGTTTTGGCTTCACTCTCTTTCATGTACAATCTCCATTATTTGTTTTACATGACTTAGATTTTTTCTCCCATGCCTGGAGAGCCCTGTGAGAATGCCAACCCTTCCTTGGGCAGAAGAATGTCGGTTAATGGGGAGAAGTTGCTGAAGAGAGAAAAGCCGAGAGAGTTAATTTTTCCATCTAATTATGACCTCCTGCGACACCTGCAGTATGCAACACATTTTCCTATACCTCTGGTAAGTCCTCGCTTCAAGCAGTTGGCAACCTGATTATTTCATTATAGGCTCATTAACCACTGACTATTCAACTACTTGCCTGAGTAGTCCATATGAAAGTAGGTGAGTGCCTGCATTCATTGCTTCTTTGGTTATATAATTTGATCATATAGCTTAGGTACTGGTGTGGTCCAAATTCGTGGTGTGATACTACTGGCTGACTAGATTTAACAGAATTTTCTATATTAGTATCCTTTTTCATGAACATTTGAGTCACTGCAAATAGTGTCTAAATTTGTTTTCCTGCTTCAGTTTGAAACTCATTTATTGAGTAACATTCATGTGCACTGTATTCTGGTAGGTACTTTTGGTATTATGCAGATGAGTAAGAATTTTGGGGCACAGGAAAGATGAATAAGATAGGAGGAGACAAATATCTATAAAATGACAAGCTTTGAAATAAGTGCAATAATTGAGTAAAAATTCAATTGCCCACTCAAAGGTGGACCATTTGACATTCTTGGGTCTCTTCCAGTCTGCGAGAATAAATATTATGAAGTTGATTAGGACTTCAGAGAAGGGGCTGTGTGTGAGATGAATTTGGAGTTTGACCCATTGAAATTAAGAACTGGGTAGTGCATGGGAAATACTTGCCAGGAAATTTAGTGTCTGATTCATAAAGAGTGATGTGCTTTATTCTAAATGGAAACAAGTTTAGTTTTTTAGTATTAGTGGTAAAGATAGGGCCAGGATCTGTAAATGTTTTTATTCTTAGGTTCACTATCATTCTTCTTAGAATTTTGTTTTGTGTAACTTTAATGAATAATTTTCATGGAAGACTATTATTTTAACAAAACTGTAATTGTGAAGTATATATTATGCTATTTCCTTGCAATCTTTCAGGAATTTTGGTCTGCAAACTAAATTTTTGTTTACATTTGTTTATTGGTTTGTTTATTTTTGTTATTTTGGAATTTCCTCTGAAATAACTTTCAAAGTCACTGTACTCATGTATTTTTTCCCTTTATTTTAATTAAGAGCCCTTTTTGTCATGTTAATTTTCCTGTGTCCACAGCTGTGTCCAAAGTTGCCATAATTCTTGTTTATCACTGGCTAATATATCAACATTTTCGGCTGTTACCTGTGTTACTCATTGTTAATATACTGGGATAATCTCACAGTTTATTTAGGGCAGCAGAAAGACTAGCCTGATAATTTAGAGATGTGTCCTGAAGTACCATGGATGAACTAGCATGATATCTGGAATTTGTTCTAAAATAGAATTAAAAGAGGGAGGCAGTAATTGAAGTTCAGAGTTTAGTTAACAGTAAATACATTGATGTTACTTTCCCAGTTTTGACAAATGTGTCATGGTTACATGAGGCATTAATGTGAGAGCAAATTTGGATGGAAGGATATGTGGGAATTCTGTACTATATTTGTACATTCTTTATAAATTTTATATTACTTCAAAATAAGAAGTTTATGTAAAAAAAGAAAAAATGGAGAGGGAAAATGAAGCAAATATTGGGAAAATGGTGAAAATGGTTGACATTGGTTGAGGACTCTGTGCTCTGTTGGGTAGGCAGAGCTTTGCAGCTCTCCCTCTTCCAAGTGTCTAGGTGGCAGAGCAGCATGCTGCCCGAGCATGGACCTTCTTATTCTTTTGTTCACGTGATTCTTAGCTATAAAGTCATTTGCAGCATTTAGTATTCTAAAGACTGTCTGCTTCCTTGGAGGAAAGAACATGAAAGATTTCTAATGGCTAAGTGTCATGATAAATTAGGACATAATTCAACTGTATTGTAATCATTAAAAGGACTTCTAGGAATTGATGTGGTAGGATATACTTAATAGCCTTCCATCACCACTTGCCCTGATAACCCCATTAATTGGAATGTCATTTAGAATAAGCCATCAGTAAAGGGAAGTAAAAGTACATATATACTAATGTAACATTAACATGAAGAATGCTGTAGATCCTGGTTCTCTTCCTTACTAAAAAAGAAAAATTTGACTAACTTAACAGGCATGTGGGGGAGAATGTAAGAATATGGTATTTTAAAAAAGATTTTGTTTATTTACTTTTTGAGAGTGGGGAAGGGACGGAGAAAGATAGGGAGGGAAAAACAGGTGTGAGAGAGAAATATCTGTCAGTTACCAATCAAACACACCCCAACTGGTGACCAAACCCACAACCCACCCATGTGCTCTGATTGGTGATTGAACCAACGACGTTTGGCTTTGTGGTCCAACCAGCTGAGCCACACCAGTCAAGACAAGAATATGATTTTTAAAATAGATTTTTCTTTTTTTCTACCTCTTGCTCTAAGATGACACCCTAGTGACTGAAGGCCAAGGTGAGAGGACTAAAGGGGACTCAATGAAAATATTCTGAAAAAAAAAACAAAAACAAAAAACCCAACTAGTTTTATGAATGCTGTTATAGGAATGATGTCTTGATCTGCCCATGAGTAAAAACATGTTCTTAGCTCCCAACAAGCAAGCACAGGTTCTAGCACATAGGCATTCTACCAGCCTGTAACTTAGGTGAGCCATTTGTACCTTGTTGTGTCAGATCTGTGATGCTGGTGGGGCTCCTAGTGTTGTTAGCAGCTACCTAGAATTCAGTACTTACTGTGCTGTGAGTGTAATAGGCACTTGATCGTGCATTTTCTCTTTTATTATTCTTTTCAAACTCAGAGAATATATTTATGAAACTGTAGACAGAGTTGTCTTTTGTCAGGCTTTAGAAAATAATTCTAAATGCAGATCTAAAAATGAATCTGGAATCAAACTTGTTAGCTTCTAGGAACAACACCATTTCTTAATCATTGGAGCTAATGTTACTGGGTTAGTAGTTGTTTTACTATGAGCTTTTCCTTTTGAGATGAAAAAACCCACAAAATCTTATATGTGCTTGTTTAAACTTCCCAATCTTTTCTCTAAGTAAGTCTTTTCTTTCACCATCTATTGGATTTTTCTGCATTACTGGCAGTAGAGAGACTGAAAGGTGTGACCCTGAGCACTGCAGTTGCCCACACGTGAATCAGCTGGCCCCACATGGTCAGGCTAATCTTCAGGATCCTGAGTAGCTGAGTAGCTAGCAACACGGTGGATCCTATACACTGTGTTGCTAGCAGGGCCTGGCTATGTGGAGTTGGCATGTCTATTTTAAGACCATTTGGTGCTATTTTTCCATAACTTTGAGTTTTTAGTTCAAAAACAGTTTGTATAATTTAACAGCTCCCCTTCAAAATGCTATAGGGTCTATTTCAAATTACTACAAAATAAAAATAACCACTGGGCTTGTCATTACTAACAGTAGGAAATCTTTATTCATAACTTTCAAGTAGAATATAAGTATGTACAGTACATTAAAAACTACCCATGCATTTCCAAGCCTTTTTGGAAGTAAAAATTTTTAGTTATTTTGTCAGAAACAATTAGATGTTAACAATTGGAATAGTGAACTAAAAGTTTACCTTCTTTGAAGTGGAGGATTAAAAATAAATCAGTCTCAGGTGATTTCATGTAAAAAATAAGTTGGCTTTTTTGTTGTTGTTTTCATTTTTTAAGTGACCAAAAGGGCTGTAAATGGTGTTGCTGAAGGGGTGTATGGCAACTTACGTAGACTTGATCGTTGTCCCTTGAATGATGAAGAGGTTAGGGGCACTGACCCCTCACAGTAAAGATTCTGCATATAACTTTGACTCCCCCATACTTAGCTACTAATAGCTTGCTGTTGCCTGAAAATCATACTGATAGCATAAGCAGCTGATTAACACATATTTTTATATGTTAGATGCATTATATGCTGTACTCTTATAATAAAATAAGCTAGAGAAAAGAAAATGTTATTGAGAAAATCATAAGGAAGGGAAAATACGTTTATAGTACTATATGTATTTATTGAAAAAAATTTGTAAGTGGACTCGTGCAGTTCAAATCTGTTTACAGGTCATCTGTATTTTACATATTTTATATCAAGAAGTCAGTTCCAGGTATTTAAATGAATACCTCACAAGTACTTCTGTGTCTGTGTTACAGAAGTCATTTAGGTGTCATGGATATTGAAGAGTTTTACATTGGTTCAACAAGAATTTTTAGTCTTTTTTTGTATAAATATTTGACTTAAGGAGTACGATCAACCAAGAAATACTGCTTGGTTTGCATTTAAAAACTGCTTCGTAGTAAACCAGGTCACATTTGCGAGCTGTCTATCTTCACAGTCAGAGGCTCTCTTTTCCAGTCATTTTATAGTCATTGTCCAGCAAGGGAAGAAATTACAGCATAAAATTATAACATGATCCCATATTTATACATCATTTTCATCACTTGATTTTTTTTTCTGAGCCTTGCTGCCTTTTTGTGAAACAAAAGTCCCAGTGACCTTTAAGCGGAATGCCTTTGAGAAGTGATAGTATAGGATGGGATCAAAACACAAGTTCGACACAGCCAGCAGCATCGTGGCCTCCTTGGCCTTGAAGAGTGAATTCCTGGTCGAGCAGTCAGATATGACTTCGGTCTGGCTGAGTGTGTATGGGATTCGGACAATGTGGTAAGGAACAAAACATATAATGTAGGCTGTGGTCACTAAAAGTATATTGATGAGAGCTCTTTTCACATTTGAATAATTTTCATTATCTTTGTTTCTGTAGAGTTGTCGAATTACAAGGCAGTTTGATATTAAAATGATGACTGAGAAATTTAAAAATATGGCCACACATATGAAGTTTGTCATCAGATGCCAGTTTTTTCCAATCTCCCTTTTGAATTCCATGCATCCCACATTCAGCTTTTCCTCGATGTCTTTGATGGGTATCAACATATTTGGCACCATTATAAGAAGGACCATTACCCACACGACAGCGGATATCATTTTGGCAAATCCAGGTTCTTGTATTCGATAAATTTTGCAGCTGTGTGTCAACTGAAGACAGCGATCAATGCTCACAAACGCTAAGAAGATAATTGATAAGTACATGTTAATGTAGATGAGGCAGGCTGTTACTTGGCAGTGGAATATCCTCAGCTTCCAGGGTGCCACGCCCAGGTCAACAACAATTTTCACTGGTAATGCCAGAGTCAGCAGGAAGTCGGCTGTCAGCAAATTAATTAAGTATATGCTTACGCACCTATGATTTGTGTTTTTCTGTATGAAAGCCCAGGTTGCAAAACAGCTTCCAATAAATCCAATAAGGAAAACTAAATAAAAGAAATATGTGAATGGCTGCAGATTTCTGTAAACTGGACAGAAGGTAGAACTGTTTGTCATCTTGTGGGACAGTAAGAATGATTTGTCTCCAAAAAATTTTTTTAAGAGTCTGTTAAAAAAGAAGTGAAGGGAGGTTAATAACTAAAATTAGAAATGATTTTCTTTAAAAACCACTTGTATTCACAATACCACAGTCAACAATCTTTCTAGTTCTTAGAATTTTATTTAACTTAATAGATCATGTAGACTGGCAGGAACATCTTATGTTATGAGGAAGCCTGGGTTTTCCATGGTCTGATTTTGTGTGTTTGGGAAATCCCATGTAGGTTTGCTTCTAGAAGGGATATTTTTGACATCACACTTTGGCGTTCTGATAGGTCTTGTTACCAGTTGGATTATAAGTTGGTTTGCAGAGGAGAGAATTACACTGAAATTCTGAGACCTAGAGAGAGGAAACTAGGGTAAAGTGGTCTGCTTGTGGCTGAGCCTGAAGAGATGTCATTGAGGCCACTGGTTTTCCTTTCTCACAGATGGGTAGACTCCTAACGCTCGGGGGCCTGGTCTGGGGGGGCTGGTAAGGGTGAACAAAAATTTGTACTAAAATATAAAAGAAAGTATTTCAAAAGGTGGCCCTTTACTCTCCAACCTGCTAGAACATTTTCACAATCAGAATTTATTATATTTTTCTTTTTAGCAGGATGAGTTGAAGGATTAGAATCTGGTCTAGAATTGATGCTTGTTGCATCCTTTTTCCTGGCTCTGGTTTCCTCATGGAGCAGATCTGTGAGCCTGCCTGGTTGCGTCCAGTGACCCGTGAGCACGCGGAGTGTGGCCAGTCCAGTTTGACATGTGTTGTACATGCCAAGCACACACTGGGTTTTTAAGATCTAGTACAAAGCATTTTAAAAAATAGTACAAGCAGTAAAATTGTACTAGTTTATAGAAATAGTACAACAATTAGTAAAATAGCTCATTAATATTTTTATACTGAGCATATGTCCAAATATTTTTTGATGTATTAGGTTAAATATATTTGAATTAATTTCTCTTGTTTGTTTTTGCTATTTTAAGTGCAGCTACTAGATAATTTTAAAGTATCTTTGTGGTTTGCATTCTATTTCTGTTGGACAGTGCTTGCATAGATGTTTCTGTATTTTCAGTGTTTTTAAGAAAGTTCACAAAGAATGTATTTTAAAGGTGTCTAGAACAAGGATGTGTGGCATTGGTGACCAAACTCTCAAAGAGAAGCTCAGTTATATTAGTACCAAAACATCTGAAGTTAACACTTGAGTGTTTTTCTTTCTCTTTCACTGTGGTTTTGCGGCAGTCAAGCTCAGAAGTAGAAGACAGAGCCTTAGATTAGAACCGCCGTGATCGACGCAGTGTGATGTTCCCTCCGAGTTAAATGAGCTGGGCTTCATTCGCTGCCTTTGACGGAGTCCAGCCAGATGCTCACTCTGGAGGCCACAGCTCCTCCTCTCTGGTGCTGCTTCTTTGTACGCTCCCTCCTTATGCATATTAAATACCTTTCTTTTGTTTTAACAATATTATTTTTGTGTTTTATCAGGAAAAAAATTGAAGTATATCTTTTTAAATATAGTGACTAACAAATATGGTGGCTGACTAAGAAAGCCAAATAAGCGCATTCACTCAAACTTTTAAAAATTTAAAACAAAACCAAAAATCTCTGAAGGCTTTCTGAAGTTTAATTTGCTTAATTATTTAATGACCCACTGCATGCATCATGGAATGAGACAGTACGCAAGGGGGTTGGTAAGGTATAGATGTACATGGCCCTTTCTAAGTCAGTGCCGTTGAAAGGGTGCATGTCCTTCCCCTTTTCCTCCCCGAGATGGGACTTCAGGGCTCGAGAATGGTGTCATTCTGTACTAAACTCAGTGAAAATAATTAAGTGCTTTGTGTCTGGCACTGTGCTAAGGACTTTATGTGTACTATTATTAAACCTTCCATCATTCCTATCATGTAGGTGTTATCTGTGTTTTACATGTGAGGAAACTGAGGCACAACAAGTTTATGTGAACCTGGTTATGGAGCCAGGATTCCAAGCCAGACTGCCTGGCTTCAGAAGCTGTGTTTGTAAACACTCAATAACAACAACAGTAGTAATAATGATGGGGATGAGGGTCATTATTGCTATAGCAACCAGCTACTTTACTAAGTGCTTACTATGTGGCAGGAACTATATGCTAAGCAATTTTCATTCTTAATTTTTTTTCCTGAATACTAATAAAAGAAGTTTAGTCTTCATGTATTTTGATGTTTCATTTTATAATATATTTTTTAAAAACCAAACATAGGCTCTATCCTGTCAGTCTGACCCCCTTTACTTTCGAGTCCCCATGACCTGGTCCCTCCACACCATCCCCACAGCCTTCATTCCCACCTCTCTACTCTAGATGAGTGGGATCTCTACTGTTCCGTGAACTGTTTGCTTCTTCCTGCCTTTGTGCTTTTGGTTGAGCTACAACTTGGGGATGATAGGATTTTAAGGATGGAGGGACCCTTTATTGATAGCATCTGGTCCACTCCTAGACCAGCTGAGGAAGCTGAGTTCTGGCTCTTGGGTTTTGCTCAAGGGTTCACAGCTGGTTGGGACAGGCTAGGTTTGGACCTTGTTGCTCCTGTTCTAGACTTTCTGCCTTTATCCTTCCCGTACCCAAATCCTGCCTATTCTAAATGCTCTTCATGTCTAAATTCTAATCCAGGTTTCACCAATTACCTTATGACTCTGACTCGGATTTTTCATACTAACCATTTATTTGTACCCTGGGATCCTCAATATCCTTTCCCTCTTTGGGTCAAAAGCTAATGTTGGTGTAAATTCATCCGTGTCTCCCACCTTTGCTCACTGTTCCTTTATAAGTTGCTAGGATTTTGGTTTATGTTCTTATATGTCAAATGGGACATTATACTAACATAATAATGAGCTTTTTAAAGTGCCCCCATTGCTCATATGATTATACACTAAAGCCCCATTTTGTAGATGAATGTGTGGTACACAGAAGGATTAGGGAATGATTTGTTTTGGTCAGTGAATATTCTCTGCAACTGGGACTGGCCATATACACCCATAGTTAATATATTTAAAAATAATCACAGTGTGTCTATTTGTTTGATGATGCTTGAGATCATAGTGCCTGGCAGTTTCTTTTTATGAACCTCAGTCTAACAAAAGTCTGTCGCTTTGGTTATTGCAACAAAAACCAAATCTCTTCATTTAAAATTTTTGGTTTTGTCAGTTAGAGGTGACATTGTACTGTAATAACATCTGTGTTTTCCAGCACAAATTTGAAAACTAAATGCTTGATAAATATTTTGTAGACCACTTACTAGCCTGTGGAAATTTGAGGTGTCCAGAGGCACTCCACCAAAATCAGGAAAAGATTCCAGGTATCTCTTTTGTTTGGATCAAGTGCCCATTGCTTAGAAAATAAACTCATTAGATTTTTTTTATGGCAATCACAATGGAATTTTCTTTAAATTACCTACTGTAATGTATATAGAAGGAAGTCATTTTAAGAATTATTGTGCCTTTTTGTGAAGACCAACATGGCCTTTGTTCATCCAGTTATAAAATTTACTGAATAGTTATGCTCACCTATAGGTTAAGTATTCAGTCTTTCATTTATTAAGCTGCCTTTTTGAGACTGGGTGGGGTCTTCAGATGGAAGAACATTCTAGGGTAGGTTACAGTGAGAATCTAGTTAGAGTTTAAAAACTGGTGCCTTCTTACACAGCAACGTTCCTACATGTCGACATTTTCAACTTATTTGGTTTAAACACTGAAAATCATAGATTTCCCTTCCAAGGAAAGACACTTGAATATATTAAGTATTTAAAAAGACATACCTGGGGGTATCTTCTCTGAGCCTCAGCTGCCTCTCTCCGAGTCTTCAGAGAAGCTTGAGCCGCTACAGCAGTATCACTGTCGTACTAAAAATTTCCTTTCCTTTCCTGTGGTTTTAAAATGTTGCATATTGACGTAGATGAAGCTGTGGTTTGCAAAGAGTTTAACTGTATGAAGTTCTCCTAAAGAAGTTCTTTTCAATTTTGTGTATATGCTTTCTTAAGCAATTAGGATTTGTCTATTCTAATTTTCGAGGGAAAGTTCTTATTTGTCCATTGTAGTACCTCTAGTTTTTTTTTTTAAACACCAAAGATGTGTTTGGCATCATAATGACTTTAAAGAACATCAGTTTTTTGTGCCTTGAAAAGGATTATGAGTTAAAGATATTAGGCGTTCAAGCAAAATTTCTTTAGTTCTACCTACATACTGATACTCATTAGCCTTTAAAATCTATCATTTTAAACACTTGTTGCAGTTTGGATCCTGCTGGAGACACCTATTAATAAACAAAAAAATGTAACTTTACATAGTCTGATGAAGTACTCTCTGCTTTATTTCTCGTTATTCTTTTTTGCTCATTGTAGACAAATCTGATAGTAGAAATAGAAGTAGTACTTTATTATGCAGAGAGATAACTATTGTTAACATTTTCAGCACATACATTAAAAAAATTTCTGTGTGTATGTATGCCCACTTAAAAATGTTATTATATTGTACATACTGTTTTATGGTTTGTATTTTTTCATTGAAGAATATATTGGAAATGTCTAAGTTATGAGAAGAGACTTACAATGAACATTTGTCGGTTTAGCCCAAACAGCTTAATGAATTGAGACACAGGTATTTAGTAACTATTAGATTGTGTAGAAGTATGCTTCTTAATTGTTTGGGTCATTGTTCATTCTGCCTGTGGACAAGCAAGTATTTACTGGGTGTCTGAATGGAGCCCAGCACCGTGAGGGACCCAATGAAAAGGCACTCTCTCATCCCTGTCATCGGTTGGCTCTGTCAGGCTACGTTTCTTGAATAAGGGTAGCTTTTATAAAAGAGAAGATAAGGTTATGTTTTGAGCATGTTTGAGGAAGTTCTAAATCTGCTGGTACAAAGTTGATTTGTAATTGCAGAACTGTTTCCTGGTCAGTTAGGGTCTGGTTTCTTCTATTGCTTCATTGGTTTGGTAGGTGCTTTGGTTTTTCCTTTTTCTCCTAATAATTCTTAGTCACTTTTCCAGATGATTTGGAAAAAGTCAGAAGAAACCTCTCATGAATCTAAGTTGAATCTCTTTTGGTATTCACTTTTGAACAAAAAAATTTCTCAAGATTATGAGAAATGTCAGGCTAGAGAGAGTGAATTTAGGGAGAGTCTAAGGGAACTTCTGACAAAAGCAATGTGAGGATGCTTATGATGAACGTAGCCACTTGTTTCAGATATTCTGGTGTTCTCCCAAAATAATGTAATTATTTTTATTTTGCAAAAGAAGAGTTGTTTTTTTTAAAACGTATTCACTTTATAAACTAGAGGAAAAAATCCAAATCTTTCTCAGACTCTGTACTTGACTTTTGGTGAAGAACCAGTGTTAACTTGCATCACAGTTGCACCAGGAAGTGACCTGTCTTTTCAGATAGGACTCACCAGAAAACACACTTCAGAAAGACGTGCTTGCAGACAGACAGTCAGGCGGGTGAACAGCTGTGACCAGGGTCAACATTTCAATGGGGATGGAGAGGGTTTGGTGGGATGGGGTTGGCTGCCAGCTGAGTAGTGAATGGTTTAACATGGTGTGCAGGAAAACTGAAATAAAAAGGATTCTGGTAAAGTTTCTGTTTTTCTTTTTTTAGATGGGTGTATTTATATATTTACTTCCATCTATGTCCACTTTGCAGATATGGACAGAGTGAAGAAGTGTATTGACTGTTCTTAAAAACCCACCAAAGCCACAGTTTTGTGTCTGGATTGCCAAATATGAAAGTGCTAATCCTGGATTTCAGTGTTCTGTTTCCTTTCTGGAATACTGAGAAACCACACTTTCAATAGTGAAACTGAACTGTGTTCTTCCTTTAGAGAAAGAGCTGGAGGCAACCCGGCTTTTCTTGGAAGTTTATTCACAGTAGAAATAGGCTTTCTTTTGGGCTATTGTCCCTGTTTTTGTTTTTGTTTTTAACATGAGTTCCATTTGAATTTCCATGAGTCACTTCTTTCTGTTTCATTAAGGACAGATGTTTTTCATGTTGTATCTTGTTAGCGTTCTAGGAAATTACAGATCATCACTAACAAGTATTTCAGAAACCCCAGTGGGAAGAAGTGCGGGGAAGTTATTTTTACCTCGGCCATGGTGATACTTTTTATTAGAAATGATGCATTAGTTACTTTAATGGGTATTTTGTATGTTTAAAATAAAAGAAAAAATTGAAGCTAAATTGCCCCATGAATTGAGAAAGAAAATCTTTATGTAGCTGTCTCTCCCGCCCACATAATGCATGTTTCTGATTTTATTGGACACAAATGCCAAATAACAGTGTTTCATTAGAAGTATCATTTTTAATGTTTAACATTATTAAAATTGGCCTTTTAAAGGTAGTGCGGTAGCCCTCTGGAACTAATGAGGAGGGGGAAACCAATGTTGGGGTCTGTCGCCACTGCCACAGCCAGACACGGGCCTGAGAACTTATTTTCTTTAAGGAAATCCATGACGTGTGGGAGATTCCTCTCGAACAGCTGCACGGTTAGACTCCAGTGCCCTGGCACTTAACACTTCTCAAGATGAAAGTGTTGGACAGAGACAGTGGTCACAGAGGAGGCCAATAGGGCATCCCTTCCCCTGCCCCCCTACCTTGAGTTCACAGAGATTCTAAGTGGAGTGACCGGGGCAGTGGAACAATAGTGTTCCACTGCTGCCACTCTCCGTGTGGAATTTGCAATTTAGGGTGCTCTCAGCTCAACAGCAGTTTGCATCCTGAAACTTTTTATGATCTTGGAGCAGAGGGTGGTTCCTTGGTTAATGAATGGTGGTGATCTGTAGCAGCTATGTGGCTTCAGATCAACCTTCTCTCTGGAGCCACAGTACTTTTGGTTCACGTACTGAAAGGTTTTTTTTTTTTTTTTTTAAAGCACACAATCCCCTTTCCCACCTGGATTAGTGCAAAGACTTGTTTTCCTTCCTCAGAGTAGTAGCTTCTAATTTGTGAGTTATGGACATCATTAGACAAAGCATTTTTAAAGTGAGGTGTACATACAGATCTTCCAAGATGATGCCTTTTCTGCATGATTTAAACTTTGCCCTAGTTTGGTACGTTATTAATGAAAGAGAGTAAGGGCTTGGAAATGTTTTGAAGGCAAAGGTGTTTTGCCCATTCGGGAATGTGAAGGGGGTTGTAAGAGTGACTGAGCACGCTCCTTGCCCTTCCCCTTGCCCCTCCTTTTGTCTTTCTGCCTTTTTACTGGCCGCACAGTGGTGCTGGGTCAACGCAAAGTCCATTTCACCTTTCTGTTGTGCGGTGTGACTGCTGTTTGACCTATGGATGTAGAATAATTCATTGGAGGGAAAGCCCTAAAAAAGAACTTTTAAAGGTTATCACTGAGTTCATTTTCTTTTCCACTTGAGTCGTTATCGTCCGTCCTCTTAAAATGACATTATGAGTAACACATTTTCAAAGCTCAAAACACATTTTATAAACTTTGCAGTTACTTTCCAGGAGAAGGTTCTTTGGAGAAATTCTCCCTTTCCCTTGTCATGCGAATCTTTGTTTCCTGACAAAGCAAAGAAAAATTGTAACAACAAATACTTAACTGACTGCAGGCTGCCACCTCAGTGCCCACCCTCGGGAATATTTTTGTGACTTTTAGAAAGTTACTGTGTAGAAGGGGTGACAAGGAATTTTCAGAACCTGCAAGATACAAATGTGCTACTGGCTGCTAGGACCTGTGGAATCCAGGAGGTGCCTGAGCTGGGTAAAGGGATGCCTCTGGGAGGTGGAGAACAGCGTCATGCTTGGGGCATGATTCAGATGATTGGGCTGTGGGGACCATGCTTGGGGACTCTTAGACAGTCTGAGTGTTGGGAGTGTCTGAGCAGGACCTGTGTGAGGACAAGGATGAGACCATATCTTGGATCAACCTGGTCAACCTCAGATGCTTTAATGAGTAAGCAGTGGAGAGCTCAGGGACATTACATGGAGGAGCTCTCAGTTCGGCAGCAAGGTAAGTCTGCGGTGTCTGAATGTGTTGGGTTAGGGGAGAAAGTGCAGGACGTGATACCAGTTTGAGGATGGTTGTTTGCGGTCATTTTGGGTGAGAAGCAGCGAGGTTCTGAAATTAGACGGGAAGAGGTGGGCAGTTAGGTGCCCTCACAGAGGTGAGATCAGTGCCCTGTGGTGGGAGGGGAGCGTCCAGTGTTTCAGTTCCGGGAAGGGGAGTCTGAGAAAGACGATTAGGTATGTTGACTTCCTGTGTTTTTAGTGCCATCTCATTATTTGACATAGCACAGCTTGATCTTCACTCCTTTCAGTTAGATATTAAATGTTCCTCAGCACTTGATTTGTCATAACCAGGCCACCCTGAATGTAACTCTGTGAAGTTGTTTTGAATAGCATTGGATGGAAACACTGGTTTTCCTATCAAAAAATCACTTTTTATTCACTTAAATGCTTTTGTAATAATAAACATAAAATACACATTTTTTATGATACAAAGTTGAAATTGCCTTTTAGTTAGCAAACAAAATGAGGATTAATTTCTCATTCCAGTCACTAAGATGTCAGAGAGCTGGTATTTTTTTCAGAAAGCTAAGGGGTTAAAGTAGAACATAAATAATTAATGGCTTGAAAAAAGCTACAAAGTTACATGTAGAAAATCTTTTAGCTTAGAAAAGGGATTATCAAGAAATTATTTTAAGTAGTACTAAGTTGTATATGGAGATGATAAGCTATTTTTCGGTGTCTTTTTATGCAGGAGATGGAAGGAGAGGAAAGTAAGCCCTTAGGACTTTGTCATATACTTCGAGAGGGTGGCCTAGCAGTTCACCAGCGACTGGGATTGGGGTGGGAGGGGTGAACCCCCAGACATGCTGATACAGTGGGGGTGGAACAACGAGGTGACCCCGACCCAGAGTCTCGCATTGTGGGTCCCCAAAGCACTGAAGATAGTGGTTTTGGAAGTGGGATGAGGTGGGTTGGGAGATCTTAACTTGGGCCATGAGAAGTCACAGAATTATACAATGAGGCACTTCAACTTGATGAGTGAAAATACTTTTCATATACAATGTTCTATTGTTGAGATGGGCCTTTCTGTATAATGCTGCTTCCATAATTTTTCCCCAGCTTCTACTGGAGGTGGGGAAGATAGGATTGGAGTAACCTCTATTCCCCATCAGCTCTGAAACCTTATTTTGTGGAGTTTTTTTTTTCTTATAGCTGGTTTATAGTAAGGTTTTAGAAATATACTTACTCCAGGTAAAGTAATACAACATTTAATCATTTTGTACAAACAGTGCTATGAAATGGTTAAAGCATTTTTTAAAGTGGCATATGAGAAAGGAAAACTGTACTTTGTTAAAGATGTTTCTTTGGGGGAGATATTTTGTAATGAAATGGAATTTGCATGCCTTTGGGTACTTGCAGAATATAAATGGGTGAGCAGAGGAGACAGTGGCTTTTACTCCTGAAGGCTGCACGGCACCGCCTCCCTCCTGCCCCAAGCGCACAGTGCTGTTCACCCGGACACGTCCCGTGTCATTTTGGGGGGCAATAATCTGTTTCGTTTGTAATTTTTATGATGTTATCTGTGTTATAGACATTTTCTGTATTAATAGAGATACTGAGTTTCCCTTTTTCTCTAGAGTCAGTTAAAGAATAGAGGTGGGTTAAGGACAGACTGCAGAATTAATGGCATATAATTTACTACATGAAATAGGAGCACAGCTTAGTGTAAGGGTGTTTAGAGTTTCTGGATTATCTTTCTTGCTGAAGCCAGTGTATCAAGACTCTTCATTTGTAGGTCACAAAGAGATACAGTTAAAATAGTACTTATACAATAAAAGAGATTTATTGGCTGATGGCCCCAAATGTCCACAGTTGTGGGTATGGCTTTAGTTGAAGGATAATGAGAACCTCCGGTGATAGGACCAGGGCTGAATTCATACCTCTCCTCTAGCCACCTTGCATGGTGTTGGTTTCAGCTCATAGAAAGCTGTAGGCTTTCCTTTTGCGTTAGTAAAATGAAAGAAGCACTTCTAGACTTTCCATGTTGACAGCAAGCCCTCTAGAGAATTTCTTCAGAATTTTGGGACTTGCTCTCATTAGGCCATGTTCCATCTCAGCTTGTGGCCAGTGAAATTGGACATGAACAATGAACAGTTTTGGCCAGACCCTGATGTCTCAGGGACAGGACAGGCTCTAGGACAGTATATGGCTGAGAACAGGGAAAGGTAAATTTTCCCAAAGGAAAATTTTTGCTTTGATCGATGAGAAAAAAGAGTGTAGAACCTGAGGACAGAACTTCCCAGATAAGAAAAAACTAAAGGAATTCATCATCACCAAACCGTTATTACATGACATGTTAAAGGCACTTATTTAAGAAGAAGAAGATCAATACTATGAACAATAAAATGGCAATAAATACATATCTATAAACAATTGAATCTAAAAGCAAACTAAGCAAACAAGAACAGAGACAGAATCATGGGTACAGAGAGAGTTTTGGTGGTTGTCAGATGGGAGGGGTGTGGGGGAATGGGTGAAGAGGTGAGGGGATAAGAAGTAGAAATAGGTAGGTACAGAATAGCCAGGGGGCTGTAAAGTGCAGTATAGGAAATGGAATAGCCAAAGAACTTACACACGTGATCCATGGAAATGAACAATGGTGTGGGGACCGCCTGAGCGAGTGGGGTTCTGGTGGAGGCGGGCAAAGGGAGAAAGATTGAGATAACTGTAATCACATAATCAGTAAAATATAATTTAAAAAGAAAGAACCTGAGGAGATAACCACCAAACAAGCACTACTGTTGATAGCATTTTGTAAAAGATAGTTGCAAGGTTCAGCCATCTCTGTGGGTGGGTTCATGTGTAATCTTTTTATAGGATTGCCATTTCTTTGTTTTTTGATTCTTGTCTCAAATGTTTCTTTCATAAAAACACTTTAGAGTATTTTTGTATGGGTGGTTGAATCAGTTGTGCATCAACACTGAACCTCAGTTTAGTTAAAGAAAATGTAATTAAAGTGGCATTTTTAGTCTTAGTCAAGAGCCATTTCTGAATACCTTTCTGTTAGATTTCTTCATTTCAGATGTTGCAGAGCAGCTGTTGGTATATCATGTTCTGTCCACAAATATGTTTCTTTTCATTACTGTCCCAGCAATTTAGAATTTTCTGATTTTATATCCCTTGACAACACAGAGAAACGATTGGCTGAAGCTTAAGGGCCTGTTGGCCTCTCAGTGAGACTGGAGCTCTCGGCTCACAGTCAGCTTCGGCATTCCCTATTATCCATTTTCTTACAACTGAGGTGACGTGGCCTTCCTCACCACTTTGGGCACCCGAGCTTGTAAGCTGCACAAGGCAGCCTGAGCTCTCGAAGACCTGCACTAGTGCTTTACCTACAGAGGACCTGGGAAGTGGTCCCTGCTGCCTCCCTGCAGCAGTGTCTCTGAGTTATCCATTTTTGCACTGCTCTAGCACTTGCTTTTTTGCTGTGGCCCTGGATCTGAGTTCTAAAATGTAGTGACTGTTACTCACCTCTTGCTTCACAATATCCTTATCTGCATTGCATGTTGCTTCCTGAGAAATCTTGCCTTTCGCATGATTGCTCTGTTGTAGCACAGTGGTACAAATGTATTACTTGGTGCTACTCATCTCTTTTTCACTTTCATTTTCTCTTGTGGCTCATTAGGGGTATTTAAAACACCGGCATTTAGTAATTTGTCCTGGCCAATGGAAATGATGAAGAGTAAGCACAGTGAATTTCTTTTGCAAATATATTTACCCAAACAAATACTGCAAGCTTACTTTGACTGAGCATGTTATATTAGTAGGTTGGTGATTTTGTCTTTTGACCCAGAGTTGGGAGCAGGGATCTTTTACAGGGGTAAAAAGTGGACACATTATATAAAAACTTTCCATTCTCTTCCTCAATTTAAAATTTGTTTTTTGAGCTTTGCCTAAAATCTGATGAGGTCCTAGAGCATATGCAATACTCATTTTGAAAAGACAGTAGTAAATAGAATTTGAATGTCCTTATTAGCATGCATAATTGAGTGTATTAAAGAAACCACCCCATGTCTTGACTGTGAGGTAATCTGGTAGTTTTTTTCATAATTTGATTATTTAAAAAATTGAGAGTATTAAAAATGTTTTATTAGTACATATACAGTAAAGAATGACATATATAAACATGACTTACAAGATTGAAGAGAACATTTGAAAGTTGGGCTTAATGTCTTCTAACCAGTTAATAGCAGAGAAAGAATTATTTTGATAACTCATATGCCAGCAAACAAACATTTCATATCTGCACATATTCATTTGTTTTTCGGAAAATGTGATGTGTAAAGTTTTACTTTATGTATAGTTTCTCACTCATTACTGTAAATTTTCGATTTTTTTAAATCAAGTCCAGTTGCTTTCTAAAAAAAAAACTGCTTCACTCACCCCTAGAGAAGAATGTGTGTTTCCGGCCTGACGTGTGTGTGTGTGTGTGTGTGTGTGTGTGTATGTATGTGTGTGTGTGTGTCTTTGCCCAGCCATCCTTTTCTTTCGTCCATGCCACTGAACAGAGGAGGATGCTGGTGACACAGACCAGTACCTAGCTTCCCTCAGGAGAGTCCACTTCTAAAAATATTCTAACACCAGACCTCCGGGCTCATTAAGTGGCTTAACAAGTCTCTGTAGAGAACATACCTAAAATGCATTTTATGTCATCTTCAAAATGCTATCAGAAAAAAATTATGTTTTTTATTGCAAAGTATATAAATTTGATCTGCTTTCTTTTGAAATGCCATGAGATAAATCAGTAGGGAATGTCTTAAGTGATTTTCTGAGTGTCCACTTTTTCTCCTTCTTCAAATCAGAGAAAACTTGACTCTTTCTCTACCCAGGCCTTTAGTCCTTTATCAAACTGTGCATACTTTTAAGTTGGTCTTTAATGAGCCTGTTGAAAAAATTTCCATAACTTACAAACTCAATTCTTGTGTTTAGAGATGGAAGACACCCTTGTGAATTGTCTTGATTGCTTTTTATTTTCTTATTTGCTATTTAAAGTTGTACATTAACTGACCAGATTAGTGATTATAAATTTAAACCTTCTATTTTGATATGATCGAAATATGTATGCATTATTTTTTTCTTTTGTATTACACATAAGCATGGAAACTCACATTTTAATTTATTATCACACTAAATTGGATAGTAATGCCCAGAGGTGATGCGTAATGTCTTGGCAGTTTTCGGATTTGCCCCTCTCGCTGGTAACTGAGCGCCACACATGTGCCCCAGGCTGTGCGGGAGCGGCGGCAGGAATCACAGCGTGTCTGTGCTTTCAGGCGCTGCTTGTGCCCTCCTGCATCGGGACGTTTCTGAGTCATCCTGAGCTGTTAGTGAGATGTGCAGTTTCTTACACAAGATTTCTCTAAATGGCTGGCACAGAAAGAAATAAATAACAGGGTCCAAGCACACGTTGGCAGCGGACAGCAGCAGAGTGAACTCCTTCACATAGTACAGGATTTCTCGGGACCGGCAGCTGTAGTGTGCTTCCGTCTGGCTCTTTGTGTAGAAGATTCTGACAATGTGGTAAGGTACGAAACAGACAAAAAACACTAACATGATGCTGAATATATTACGGCTAGATTTCTTCTTGACCGAAATGGAATTCCTTCTAGACTTAAGGTGGGACTTGAAGATTTTCCTTGTGATAGCAGTGTAGAAAATGATTAACAAAAGAAACACAATCCAGAAGATGCCCACAAAGATGTAGTTGGATGCTTTGTGCCACTTTAGTCCCAGTTCGTTCTTAAGTTCCATGCATTTTATATGTGTGACGTCCTTAACACTTTGGTTGGTGAGGATAATGTTGGGGACAGCGAGAAGGAGCATCAGTAGCCACACCATCACCGACAGGAGTTTGCTATAAGTCACTGACTGGATGAAAGATGTCAAAAGAGGCTTCACGATTTTGTAGTATCTGTCGAAGCTGATGAGCCCAAAGAACACAATGCTGACGTACATGTTGACATAGAAAAGCACTGCCGAGACCCTGCACACGAACACGCCCAGCTGCCAGGGGCCCAGGCCCGAGTCACTGAGGATCTTGAACGGAAACGTCAGGCTCATCAGGAAGTCAGCGACAACGATGCTCTTCAGGTAGATGATGAAACTCTTCGAGCTGGGCACATAGAAGAAGATCCATGCTGACACGCTGTTGAGCAGGATCCCCGCGATGAAGACCATCAGGTACAGCACGGGAATGACTTGCTGTATGATGAGGGCGTTTCGGGAGCAGGACTCGGGGGGCTGAGGGGTGGTGGAATTCATCTTTTTGTCACTCCCGAAGGTGAGGCCTGGAAAGCAATGGGAAATAATGTTTTAGAGGCCTTCTTATGGCCTCCATGTTAATTGCCAAATAATAAAACAAAAGACAGTGCATATAGTCAAGCCCACCACACTCTTGAAATAAAGTTTTGTTACATGCTAGGCACCCTTCCCTCCCTCCTTTTTTTACCCCCTTTGGGGAAGGGAAGCGCAGAGTGGTAGATGGCAGGACCGACGAATGGGCGAGGCAGGACAGCCTGAGAGCCGTGGGTGATGTAAGGAGCATCGTTTCTCTAAAATGACAGTGGCTCCCTGTAAAACTCCACAACTCTAGGGTACACTCATTTAAACATAGCCGCAGAAGGTCTGAGATTGTAAAAACAGAATCTGTTTTCTTTGTTCAGAACTTTGTTTAATACATCAGGTGTCAGAGCTATTGCTACAGATGTGACTCTTTAAAAAGCCTGCCCTGCATATATTCTGGACATAACACATCCAAGTATAACTGGTATTTCTGATACGGAAGTTGGGGCACCTTTTAACGCTGAGCTTTTCTGTGTTTTTTTTTTTCCATTGAAAAACTGAGTTGCATTATTTTTATAAATTAGAAAACAAACACATACAAATGATAACAGTACATTCTGGATCTGCACTGTTCAGTACAGTAGCCATAAGCCACATGTGGCTGGAGAGCACTTGAACTGTGGCCAGTCCAGACAGAGATGTGAAATAAGGATAAAATGCACACTGAATTTTATAGGCCTCATACCAAAAAAAGTAAAATATTTTAATATTGATTACATTTGAAGTTATATTTTAGAAATATTCTGTTAAAGAAAATATATTAGTAATTTTTGGTTTTACCCTCACCCAAGGACATACTTACTGATTTTAGAGAGAGGGAAAGGGAGGGAGAATGAGAGGGAGAGAAACATTGATGTGAGAGAGAAACCCAGATTGCCTCTTGTAAACACCCCGACCAGGAACCCGACCTGCAGCCTAGGCGTGTGCCCTGACCAGGAATCAAACCTGTGACCTTTCAGTTTGAGGGATGATGCCCAACCAACTGAGCCACACTGGCCAGGGCATATTAATAAATTTTAATTTTAGTTTTTATTTTTAGAGAGGAAGGGAGAAAGAAGGGAAGAGAAACATTCATGTCTGAGGTAAACATTGATCGATTGCCTCTTGCATACCCCAGCCAGGAACCTGGCCTGCAGCCCAAGCATGTACCCTGACTGGGAATGGAATCAGCAACCTTTTGGTCTGTGGAGCAATGCCCAACCCACTGAGCCATACCAGTCAGGACTTAATTTTACTTTTTAAGAATATGGCTGGTAGTAAAGTTAAAATTACATATATGGCTCACGTCATATTTACTATATATTGGACAGCACTGTTCTAAGTATTACTCAGAACCTTCTTTGGTTAGGGAATTCTCTGTGTTCCTCCCTGAGGTCAGACATACTGATTTAGGGTGGTTCCACCCAATTCCACCCTTTGAAAGGTGATTGATACATCAAAGCAAGTATTGACTGCCCATCTTATATGTAATAGCAACATATTGCTGAAAACCCTCAGCAATACCCTTGCCTTTAGAATAAAATTGTAGTTCTTTAATTCTGAGCTCCCTTTGGTCTAATCACTGCTTCCTCCACCTCCAGCAGTAAGTCTCTGCTGTCCTGAACCCTTCTGACTCCTTGTAGGTTCTATAATTTCTTTTACTTTGGACCTTTGCACAAACTTTCATTTGTGTGCAAAACTCATTCTTGGCGTTTTTGATGGCTACCTCCTTGGTGGATAAATCCTCCTCATCCTTGAGGCCTCAGCTTGGATGTCACTTTTTTTTTTATCCTCACCTGACATGCTCACTGATTCTTGAGAGAGGGGAAGGAAGGGAAAGAAAAAGGAGAGAAACATTGATCGGTTGCCTCTCATACGTGCCCTGACTGGGGACTGAACCCGCCACCTTTTGGTTTATGGGACCATGTTCCAATGAACTGAGCCACACTGGCCAGGGCATTGATGTTACTTTCTTTAGGAGACATTTCCACCCCAAGCCTTGCTGGGTGCACTGGGTGTGGGGTTCCGTGTGTGTGCTCGTAGTTCTGTGCCACTCTCCTCTCACAGCACTCGTCTCTTCGACCTTGTTTTTCTGTTTCTTCCACTTTTGTAAGTCTCTTTAAAGGAGAAAGACCATGTCATTTTTTACCATTGTATTCCTAGACAGTTAAAATATTTGTGAAATAAATATGCAATATGGGAATATAAGACATGAAGCCCTGCTCTTAAATTTGTATCTAGTCAGAGATCACAGGAAAGATTGTGGAGGATTGTGGGTTCTTTGAGGTCAGAGAATCTATCTTGTTCATCCTTGTATTTCTGGTGCCAAGCAAGGTGCTTTACACACAGTGGGTGAAGTCAGTAAAATAAAGGTAGTGTGAGAAAGTGGAATTTGGAAATGTGGGATATGAAATACAGTCACATTGCAAATAGAAAAATCCTACAAGCAAACTTGGTGTGCTGTTGTCCACACAAGTCTTGCTTTTGTGTACTCTTCCTTCGTGCATGCCGGGTGGCAAAACTAGGTCTGTTTCTAGCCTGTCTCTGAACTTCCTTCAGAAGGAAATCTTATTTCCTGCACACTTGGTCTAGTCATAGTGGTTTATACTCTTTTACTTCTTTGTAGGTCTTCAGTAGCTTGTTTTATATTTTATATGAAAAGCAAAGGGGCTACATTTTCTATTTTTAACTGTTCACTGTGACAAAGAATCTGTGACTAGTAATTAATTTTGTCTCATTCCATGGTGGTCAGATGCAGCTTATTCTAAGAGCCAGACTCACAGGGGTAAGCTGTTTGCTCCCAGGGGTCATATTCCCCCCTCAGTCTGTGAGCTGCAGTAATTGCCTAGGGTTTACAATATTAAAAAATGTAGATGTAAATATATTTTAAAGTACTGTAGAGGGAAATATCGTATAAGATAATTATGTAGTGAAATAGTAAAGAATTTTCAGAAATGTTTGAGAGCCAAATTTTACTCTGTGTGGAAACATTAAATCACTATATATAGAAATAGTAAAGAATTTCCTAGAAATGATTTAGGGAGAGCCACAGTTCCTTTGCGTGTAGATCTGTATAAACACATTTTTCTCAGTCTTGTGACATATACTTTTGAGCTGCAATATGTCTGCCTGTGTGCTGATACTGTGGGTCCAGAACTGTGCTTTCAGGTTCCTCTAAGTGTTGAGAGTCTGAGCGCGCACACCGAGGGGTGCTCCTCACTGCCTGCCTTGCCCCTCGCTGTGAGGCTGACTGCAGGGGCTGGCCGGCCCAGGCAGACTTCTAGCACAGGTGTGCCTTGCTCGATTGGGTTGGCCTATTTTTAAACAGTTGGAGACAACAATCTGCCTTTTAGGATGCTAGGGTTTGACATCCGGTAGTTGGGGGGAGGGGCAAGGGTATTCCTGCTGCCAGCCTGTGCCCTGTTTGGTTGGATATAGCAGCGGCAAATGAAAGGGCTACCCTACGTGAGTGACCAGCTAAAGGTACATCCAAGACAACTTTGGTAGTAATTTTTCAGCTCTTGGGTGTTTTTCTCTTTAGTGGTGGTATTGATGGTGGCACATTGTGTCCGGTAGGTACAAATTGTGCTGTGCTCGATCTTGGTGTCTCAGAGCATAGCAGCCTTTTCTACAGTGACAGATGGAGAGAGATGGGACAAAAGAGCGTCTACAAGCAGGTGGGTCAGTTTTATACATTGAGACCAAAAGGCAGGGATATGTGTTGCACGAAAACCAGGACCAGGTAATGAGATGTGTATCACTTTGACGTTGAAACATTTTCTCAGTCTCCCCTACTTATCTTTAGTATAAAGATGATTTAATGCCCTGATAAAGGGACGACCTGAGACTTCGAATCATTCTGCAGGTGGAGGAAATGCTGATTTTATACAGTAACTTAAAAATAAATAGGAACCAAATGAATCAGGAAGAAAAACAAAGAATGTCTTGGTGTGTCCCAACAACTCTCCCATCCCTGCCCCAAGGTCTCATTTGGTCTATTTCTAAGCTGCTTGCTGCAGCCCATTAAAGATGAAAGACAGGCGAAGGGAGGGGGAAGAAAGAAAAAGGAAAGGGACCTCTGACCATGATCAACGGAAAAAGTGGGCCCGCCGGTTTGTGGAGGTGTAGCCAGCCCTGTCCAAGGCAGTTAATTCTGAGATTATATCTGAATTTCTGTAGTGAAAGTGGTCATTATATTAACCTTGAGCTTTCAGGAATGCAAACATTGCTCCCTAAAGATCTCTGTGGGTGGCAGAAGTGTTTAAAGATTTTTAAGTGTGTAAGTCCTCAGCTTCACTGAGGCAGACTCTTCCTTTTCCACAAATGCAGGTAGAGGAGAATGAAGTGAAAAGGCTCGAGTTTTAGTCTTTATCCCATGGCTTTGGGTCTTTGGTGACTTAATTAAAGAATGTGGTCGAAGGGGATATATGAGCCCCCAAACACCTATATAATAGTGTCATATGAGTTGCTTTCTTTCCATATTTTTGCACAGCTAGAATATCAATGCTAAAGACTCATTCTAGTGTAGATGGTGAGCACGCTTGTCTTTTAGTGCAACTCGAGGTCTCAGGATGTGCACATGAAGTGTTTTCACGTTGTAGAACAGGAGTGTCAAACTCATTTTCATCGGGGGCCACATCAGCCTTGAGGTTCCCTTCAAAGGGCTGAATGTAATTTTAGGACCGTATAAATGTAACTATTCCTTAACTAGGTGCAAGGAGCTCAGCATTGCCTCTGGGTAGAAACAAGGTGCCCAGCCAGATAAAACAAGGTGGAGGGCCGGATTCGGCCCATGGGCCTTGTGTTTGCCACCTGTGCTGTAGAATATTGCATATAACTGTAGGGCTCTCTCTTTAAGTGGAATTTGCTGCTAGTTCATACAAGGCTATTCAAAGCAGTGCTCACCCCAGAAATACATCCGTCTTAATAGAAACATGCTCGGTTCATTACGCATCTTCTGAGTAATCACAGTGCCCCGTTTTTCTCCTCTACATGGGCCACCGCCTACCATTCTGACCGTGTGCTATCATTTTGTTTTCTCTGAAAAAGGGAAATGATTCCTCCGTAACCTTCTGCTGAAATTACCTGAGCTTATGATAATACTAGAGGGTTTTTTTCTTTTTTCATTCACCTTAGATTTTTGTGTGTGTGTGAGGTTTCTCTTCAGTGAAGGAATTTAGCCCAGTGAATGCTTGTTATCTTGAAGTAGACAAAGTGTTTATATTGATCCTGTGTTGTAGGAGAAAGTGAAGAATTAATTAAGTTAAATAAACACAAGAACATTTTCATTGGAGAAGTATATATGGTAGCAGTGCAATTACTTTTAAATTCAGCTTGTAAAATTGTGAAATATTTTAATGTGTGTTTATTGTTTTAGGGTAGTGGTCTTAGTTTTCAATAATAATTATTAATTTGGTGTGAACTCATGTGAAAAACTTGCAAACTCTTTACTTGAGATTGTTGGACATGAAGTGTTTTTAGTTACTGGTTTATTTTCCCCCCCTATGGAAGCAGATACTCAAATTCATTGAATTACTGAAGTTAACAATTGATCATTTTAGCCAGAAATCATAGGTGGGATTCTCTTGTTATTTTTTTTTTAAACCATCATACCAGATAATTATTTGTTATGGAAGACTGTTCTTGTCGTCTGCATTGTAGGATGTTTAGCAGCATCCCTGACTTTTATCTGCTAGAGAGAAGTTGTGACGCAGTGTCTCCAGACATTGCCAAATGTCCTGTGGGACACCACATCACTCTGGGTGATAACCCCTTGTCCGATGAGATGGATGTGTGCAGGGATAACATCTGAAAGCCGTATCGTCTGCATGCAAAAGGGTGAGTTTGGCAGAAGGGTGGTTAGATTTGGTTCTTCCTTATTCCAGGTCGTCACATTTCTTGTGCTTTAAACCAGCTGTTCTCCAACTTTAATGTGCATACACATCACTTGGGGATCTTGCTAAAATGAAGACTCATATTCCATAGGTCTGTAGTTGGGTGTGATATTAATGCTGTTAGCCCAGTGACCACATTTTGAGTAGCAAGTTTTTTTTTTCCAGACCTTGTACACATGAGACGTTTAGTAAGTATTTGGTGAGGAGGGTAAAATAACTTGTTTTTCTTTCCTGTAGTTGGGACTTCCAGGTAGGAAAAAGTTACATTATAAGGACCTTGAAATCTAGGATCTTTCCTAGAGTTTGTTCATTACAGACTTCCTTGTCATAATTGCATTCTTATGGTCTCCTGGAAATATAAATATGTATTTTATAGAAATCTACTTGAGAATAAGTGATAAATAAATTTTATATTTACCTATAATATTCCTAAAAGGTTGCGAAGTTCTCTTGGGAGAAAACAACAACCAAGGGACTGAGTTCTCCACAGAGCTACATTACATGCGGTCCCGGGTGGCGCCTAGCGTGCCCTGGTCAGGGCGATGCACTCCAAGGCCGTGGCTGCACTTGCTCCTGGGGAGGGAGGAGGAGCAAGTGGCCATATAGGGCAGTTGGACTTTTGCTGGGCTTGTGCTGTTGCCTCTGTTAAACTCTGAAGTCATTATGGGTAAATATTACTATCAGTGAATGCTAGGTGATTGAGTACATTGGTTTCGCAAACACTAGTTTCTGAGCTTTTATTTTGTATATTTGAAATCTTTCATAATTAGAAATAAATATATTTAGAGAATGGATTTCTTTCAAATCTTCCTGTATCAACTCCTACCTGTGAGGAACATTTTTCTCCCTGGTCTTTGTTCAGTTCTTAAAATGGGACAGTCTGGTGTTTCCCCCTCGCTCTTTCTGGTCCACATCAGAAGCTTTAATCTAGGGTATTTATTTGAGGTATTTTCATATGAGATGAATATTTGTTCTCTAGGTCATTTTTATAACACTAGGAAATAGTATAGATATGTGTAATCATTGTGTACATTTCTAAATTAACTGAAGCCATTTTCGTATTATCGCTGGTTTTATCTCCCTTGTCCTAATGTGTACCTTTTCTCCTCCCTTTTTGGTGCCAATATGTGACATCCTAGATGGTTTCCAGAATAGTTAACAATGGGTTTAATGGAAAGGGTACTTATATGGACTGCTTCTTCAGTCTTGTCATATTTGGTAAT